TCCACTATTTTTGAAAATAGGCGCATTTTCCAACTCCCCTAGAGTTAAACAGTTGAGTTTTACCGTTTTCAAATCCATTCAGCCAATCTTTGGGTCTGGCGGTAGCACTTTTAGCTTAGCTTAGCATAGATCATTGAATCTGATTAGACCGTTAGCATCTCACTCAAAAATGACCAAAGAGTTTCTATATTTTTCCTATTTAAAACTGGACACTTCTGTAGTTATATCGTGTACTAAGACCGACGGAAAATGAAAAGTTGCGACTTTATGACGCAGCGCCTGAAAATAGTCCCCAGCTAGGTAACTTCCAAAAGCCTATATTCAGGCACTGCGTAATATCATTGCGTCTGCTGCACCCATGGTACGGCAGCAAAGTTAGATCATTACGTCGGAATGAGAGTATAGTTCCTAGCCATATCGGCCTAGAAAATCGCAACTTTTAATTTTCCGTCGGTCTTAGTACACGATGTAACTACAGAAGAGTCAAGTTTTAAAGAGGAAAAATATAGAAACTCTTTGCTCATTTTTGAGCGAGATGCTAACGGTCTAATCAGATTCAATGATCTATGCTAAGCTAAGCTAAAAGTGCTACCGCCAGACCCGGAGATCAGCTGAATGGATTCGAAAACGGTAAAACGCAACTGTTTAACTCTAGGGGAGTTGGAAAATGAGCCTATTTTCAAAAATAGTGGTGTTCCTTTAAGCTCCAATGAGCAGTGGCCTGTAGAGGGAGCACTCCTGTATCTGCTCTCTCCATGTTTATCTCCTCTGGTTGGGCATCCATCTGGACTTGAGCTGTTTTATTGTTTTGACACTCACAGCACGACACCGTCTGGAGACCTGGGGCCCCCATCCTTCTCTCTCTCTCTCTTTCTAACACCCCCACTTCAGTTCCCCTCACTCTTCTCCGGCTTAATGTCGAGATCCTGCGGTCTTCCACCAGAGTCCATCTAAACGATATGGGACGGTTTCCCGCCTCGCTTCCCAGCACTGTCCCGGCTTGCTCTCAGTCCCTCTTTTCTCCAGGGACTCCCTATATATATATATATATATATATATATATATATATATATACACACACATATATAAATAATTCACAAGGCCTCCTTATTCATTTCCATTTAATCTTGATGCTCCATATACAACCAAAACATCTTCAAAACATTCATCTGCACGGGCAAAAGAAATCACAAGGCTGATAATATTTGGGTCACAGAGGCTAATCTGAACAGTTTCACTATGCATAGGTCTGACCCCAGATCAGCCCTCAGGGCAGCATTATTCTGTGGCTCAACTAGAGTAAAATGAGTTGACTGAGGATAATCAAATTAGATGTGCAGGGAAAATGAAAGCAAACGAGGCTTGTGAGACAACCGATCTACAATCAGCCTCATACTGACCACTTGTGTGTCCTAAAGCTGCCCCACAATCAGGATGGGGATTTGCCCCACCAACTCGGTCACCCACGGTTTAACTAACGCGTGAATCGCACCAGTGTCTCGATAAATTTGTTGCATATTTCAGGTGTTGCATTCATGGGAAAAATGCAGAAAGGCACATCAGCACAAACACAATAGTGAAGCGCCTGCTTTCAAACGAACAGTCTGCTGCTTGTGCAAAAGGAATCAGATACATGTTCAGTCACTGAGAGGTCAAAGTGAAGTATAGACTGGATTTCTGAACACTGAGCATTACTTGTTAATATATAGATGTTAAAAATTCAACCTAATCTTAAAGTAAAAGCGTTGTTTTTGCTGTAAGGAGGGAATTCACTGGATGCTGCAGCAGGATTGGTCTTTGGTTGTTATTGGTGCATATTGGTAATATGTTTTCAGTTAAAAGTGCTTCATACATAAATGTAACGGGAAAGCGAGTGCTGATTATTTCATGAGAATGTGGTTGTCATCCACATACATGATTTTTTTAGGAACATGTTTTGCTGTCACAGATCCAAGAACTGAAAGTGAAAAAAGCAGTGATAATTTAGTGTACTGCCTGGTTCTTTACACATTTTTTTTGTGAAACCACATCCTTAAAGACATAGTTCACGCAAAAATGAAAGTTTTGCTGACAATTTGCTCACCCTCAGGCCATCCAAGATGTAGATGAGTGTTTTTCTCAGCTGTTTGGACTCTCATTCTGACGGCACCCATTTACTGCAGAGGATCCATTGGTGAGCAAGTGATGTAAAATGCTACATTTATCCAAATCTGTTCTGATTAACAAATAAACTCTTCTACATCTTGGATGGCCCGAGGCAGAGTACATTTTCAGCTAACTTTCAGTTTTGGATGAACTATTCCTTTAAGAAAGAACAGTCATACTGTTAATGCAATGCTTTTCCATTGCATTTCTGGGGTAACATTCACTAGACAGACACGTCTGACCATTGCATTAGTGTCGTTTGCGGTGTCCTGTGCATGACATGGCATTTTAAAATTGTAGCGCTCAAGTTAAAAGTTGATCAACTTTCAAAAAAGGTTTTTTTTTTTTTTTGGTTTTCCCGGTCAAAAATTACCAGCCTTTTAAAAACAGCTTGTAGATCTCTCGTTATGCTATATTATTACCAAATATTGGATTCAATCTAGCACAGGTTCTGTGTTTCTTTTTGTAACTGGTTGAAAGTAGGCCTCATTGATCTGAGCACCTCATGTTTTTAAGCAAAAAAAAAAAAAGGCAATATTTACTGCATAAACTCAGATTAATGAGACCTACAAATATAAAACCTGTGCAAATTGAAAGAAAACAAGATGACAAAAAGATTGGATCTACTATTTGGTAATAATATAGCATAGTGAGATTTACAAGCCATTTTTTGTAGGCAGGTCATTTTTGACCAGGAACCACAAGGATACATTCTACTGCCCTACATCTCTTGCTTTTACACAAAAACACATTGTCTGAATGACCTCTTTTGATCATAAACTTTCTCCCCAATTCCCATTACTTGTATCTTAAGTATGATTTGTTGACCAAAAATAGAGAAAAAAGTTAATTTGATTTATAGCATTTTTGGTAAAAATTTATATTTCCACATTTCTAATAATCATGAATGATTTTGATAATAGTGTAGTAAAAATCTGATATGGTGAGCCCTACTGGTCATATAGTGCACAAGGTATAATTACTACTTTTATGATACTTGCACTGTATTTGGTGACCAGTATAAAGTCTCACTGTATGGAAAAAGAACAGCATGACTATTAAAAAGGTCTCCTTTTGTGTTGCACAGAAGAAAATCTCAGTTAAGTCCACATGAGGGGCAAGTAAACAATTTTTTTTAATAAACTATCAATTGAAGTCAGACGTCCTCATTTAGTTAAGACGTTAACATTTGCATTTCATAACTGTGAAATGGCTGTGTATGAAGAACTGAGAGATGCAATGAATGATATAAACAAATGCATAAATGGTGTGAACCGCATGTTTTTGTCCCCACAGATGAGTGCAGCTTGCTTCTTAAAATAGTTTATTTGTGAATTTACACTGATTAGCAATACATCTAAAAGCAAGTCCGTTAGATAACCATTTATATAGGATTTCACAGGTCACAAAGAGGCTCGGCTCAAACTCACATGCCAAAGCAAACAGGCCTTCAGAACCAGACTACAACAGAGAGGTATTAGTAAAACAAGGTGCAAAACGGTCAGTAGGGGTAAAAGTTAAAAAAACGCAATGGAAACCGGAGCAAAAAGAGCCAAAATAAGAAAAAGTTAAAGCAACAAAACGAGTTAATCTTCCCACCCGCCCCAGCTCTCTCTCCAAACTCGCACCCAGTGCAGCTTTAAATGCGTTTTAATCCACGCCTGGCCCGCATTCAAATCACATGCTATTTACACAGCTTAGAAATGTCTGTCTCTCTCTCCGTGCCCAAGCCAGTACTTCACATTGCCCTCTGGGATATACATATCTCTCTCTCTCTCTCTGTGGTTCCTCCTCTTCCTCCCCCCTACGGGATGGATAATGACCACATTCGGGCCTAACAGAGTTCAAACTGCTAATATTAACCATGAGAGATTAGCTTTTGTTGTACAGTCTGTCCACAGAGTGTTATCTCGTGTGGCAGAATGCTTTAAAATGGGCAAAACAAGCAACTTCTGACCTCATGGGAACTGGAGGGAAGATGAGTAAATCAATCCAGTTTTAGATGGAAACGGCACACTGTACAATGCTGCTTCTCAAGCTTTGTAACACTAAAGTTTTGGAGACTTTTAAGCCTGTAGGATGGTTATGAGATGACTTATGGCAGTCATAAGGTGACATAATGAATGATGTCATCATTCAGAGCACTAGAATGACCCAGAATGAAGCTCAAATGTCTGATGTGATGGGAATCAATTACACTCAATACATTTGAACCCACTGTTGACCCCGTGAGAGCCAGTACTTCGCTTTAGGACTGAGACGTCTTTTTTTTTTTTTTTTTCAAAAATACAGTTTACAAATATATATTTTTTCCTTATATGTTAACAAGTTTTCCTTCTCCACCCTTTTTCTAGATGCTAAAACATTTCTCATGTTTTCATATCATGCCTCTTTCGCTTTAGATCTCCTGCTAAGTTCATCCATAGACTTTTTTTATGTATACCACATTAAAAAGTGCAGAATAAAAATATTACATTTATTTATTTATATATAATCACTCCAGTTTTCATATATTTCCGTTACATGTTTATTAATCTGAGCTATTACACGATTGAGAAGTCAGGCACTGCTACATTATCAGCCATATAGATTCAGACTAGCAAAACATGCTTCAAGATTTTGTATTTTCGTTGTTAAAGTATAGAAACGAGTACAAAACTGTATGGATAAAAACGAAATTGTTTCAATTAAAAAAAAAAAAGCTAAAATATTTCATAAGAGACGAAGAGTTGATGTTCACTAAAACGTGATTGCTCTGCTTTTTTGCCATTCAATCTTTTTGTTTGGCAAAGAACAGTACGGAGAGGAGACTGGAGTGACTCTACACAGGATCAGACCCAATTTCAGACCATCGCAGGCAACATAAGAGAAACAAAATCAAACAAACCCTGTTCAAATAACCCCCGAACGGTTTCCAGTGTGATTCTTTAGAGTCTCCTGTGTAGTGTGACCAATTACACCTACCGTCCACCTACAGCTGGAGAAACAACGCAAGCAGAACGGACACCGTAAGAGATGACGTGGCGGATAGAAAAGGGGCTCATAAAAGGTCTGTATGAGAATCTAATAAACATACAGCATGGAAAAATAATGCAGTATGGGCTCATGAGATAAAATCATTAGGAAACTGTACAGGAACATTTTCAGTCCATTAGGTGAGAAACTTCTCTTCCTGTATAAATCTCATCTTATAATCATGGCACGTCTCTTAAAAACAGATGTCGCTCCATCTATTCACAGACTCCCAAAATAATGTGCCATGCTTTTTCAAACTTAAAAACATAAAACGACGAACAAAGACAGACAAAGCGGGCATGGATTCACTCCTTCCACTAGGCTTCCACTTTCTCTTTCTTTTTGTTCTTCTTCAGGAAGGACGGGGTTCTGAACTTCTTCTTCTTCTTGTTGGGTGATTTGGAGGGCGAGCTATCGGGCGTCAGAGCCTCTTCGATCTTCTCTCCCGAGCGCACCGTGATCTCGACGCTTTCCATGCTGGTGGTCAGCTGGCTCACACGCTTGATGAGCTCTTCCTCGTCACCGTGGTCATCTTTACCGTTCAGCATCACGCCGGTGTGGTTCTCTGGGTGAGGGACAATAAAGAACAGAACTAATCAAATCCATGTTTGGAAACCATGAACAGCCAACAGTTGTGCTAATGTATTTTATTTTTAATATCATTAGTAAATTATACAGTATTTATTAGAAACATTATTAACTAATGATTATTAAATTCTTTATTAAGTTACAGTGTTGCTTGGCAACTATAAAGATATGTGCTAATGAGTTATTTTCAGATTGTTTTATTGCATTAATTGAATTTTTAATAAACTAAACAAATGATTAGAATTAGAAAATATTAACTAATAATAATAATAAAATATTTTTGTAAAATTACAATGTTGCTTGGCCAAAAAAGAAAGAAAAGGGCAACACAGTTGCTAATGAATTTTATTTGCCAGAAGTTTTGTTTGTTGTGGTTTTATTCACTGTGTTAATTTTATTAATAAATTAAACTAAATATTAGAAAAATAAATAATTATAATTAAATAAAAAAATAAAACTATTGATTACTAATAATTATTTTTAAAAGGCTTTTTAAATAATTTATTGCATTATTGTACTAAATTCTAATTTTATTTAAAACTTAGTAAAATAAATTAATAAAGTTTTCAATTATTTAACGAGCTATAAAGTTGCTTGACAAATGGGGCAACATTTGTGAAGATTTGTTCATGTTGGTGGTGACTTATTGCATTATTGTATTTATAAATTCTAAATTTATTCTAAAAAAAAAAATAGATTTTTAAAAAATTCTTTAATAAGTTACAACATTGCTGTTCCATAAAAAGCCTATAGTTGAGAATAAATGTTTGTGATTATTATTAATATTTTTTCAATTAAAGTTACATTATAAATGTATTATTAATACATTATCATATTGCCAATTCATGTGGTACATATCACTGTACTTCAACGCATTAATTTTGCTTTAAACAGAGTTAAACTGATTGGCAGGTGATTAAAAAAAGTTGCATGAATATTTAATAAGCTATTTTGAACATCAGATTCACGTCTAAATTAGTGCTGCACAAAGTTACAGAAGTTAATCATTTTATCATCATTACAAGACGCTCTGGATCAACATGTCCTGGCTTATGATTCATGTAATACATTGAGTTGAGTAACCGGTGATTTTGACGCAACTGGTGCAGAGTGACGAGGGCAAACGCATCCTGTTTCTCACCACACTACACTTCATCCCCACTGTGTGTGAACACATCAATCAGTATTTCTTTTGTTTATGAAAGGCTTCACCTTCAGTTTATGTAAGTTCATGAACTGTGCTCCCCTCCAAAGATGTCTAATGTCCAGCTCTTCTTGTAGTTGATTTAAATTTACTCTTCTAAAATAGGAAACAGGTAACGCTCGTTTTATATAAAGCCAACAGAAGAGCAAAGTAAGGTCCTGCAACGTATCCTGCCAGAATGTTTTGCAACTAGCAGGACAGTTGATTAGAAACACTGTGAAAACTAGGGTTCATGTGGACCAGTGAGGTTTTAATATTGTTTATGTACTATTATTGCATTTATTCATGTTTTGAAAAATTTCATTTTCATTTTAGTAATTCTATTACATTTGTATTCGTTTTATTTATTTATTTATATTTCACTTTAAATTCGGTTTTTAAAGGGGTCATATGATGCTTTTTTAAAGATCGTTATTTTGTGTATTTGGTGTAACAGAATATGTTGACATGCTTTAATGTCAATAATATTATTTTTCAAATACTGTACATTATTGTAGGTCCTCTATCCCCCGCCTCTCTCAAACACGTAGTTTTCAACAAAGTCCCTCCTTCTGACAAGCGCAGTCTGCTCTGATTAGCCAGCTGACCCAGTGCATTGTGATTGGCCGAACACCGCAAGCACTCGTCAGAAATGTAACGCCCCTTACCATAATCGCAAGCTTCATCTTTCAAAATAAACGTAAAGACAGAGCCCGAAAGGGGAACAGAGTCGCGTGACAGACACAGTGATGAAGCTGGTATGTGTTTGCAGTACACAAGCCACGGTTAAGACAGCTGACTCCACTGTGAGTGACCCTGTCTCTCGCTCTTTCTCTCTCTCCCTCTCACACACGCACGCACACACACACGATAGCAAATAGCAGTCAATAGCAAATAATTAAACTAATAACAAAACAGTAGCCGATTCAGAAGCGCCAGATTGTCATAGCAAAGTCAGAATTACCTCCTCTCCTAGGTTCACGAAACGGCCGTCCATAAAATGCATTGCTGTTCTGTTGTAAGTAATCTGAAAGATTCCTAAATGCATCTACTTTCGGAAGGCCAAATAAAGTGCTTTTGCTTTCGCCTAGAAACACACAGCGTCTCCCTGACATAGCTGCTTCAACACTAACTGCGGTTACTGAAACTAGGGATACTCCGATCCACCTTTGTCGCCTCCGATACCGATACCTAGGTTTCAGTATTGGCCGATACCGATCCGATACCAGTGAAGTTTTTTTAGCTCATTTAAATAAATGTAGAATTTATATATCTCTGTGTGTGGAAATGATAATCATTCTTTCACAATCTACTAGATATAGACTCCTTCATTATAAAGAAAAATAAAATAAACAATAAATCTGAAAAAATATAGGCCTATGTATATTTATAATCTATGACAAAAATGTATCAAACTAGGTTAGTGGATAATTCGGCAGCAAAAGTTATTCTAGAAAAATCAGTGCACAATCATTTTAGAAATCCAAACATTTAGTGAAAAAACTATATTTTGTGGGGAACAAATAAAAGTGTTGCACTAAATATGGTAAAATGTTACACATTGCTATTTGTATCATTATAAAATCCATTCATTAAAAACATTCATGAATATATTTATACTATAAAATTAAAATACATTTCTTTTAAATCTATAGCATATTTTTTAATAAGGCAACAACATATGATAGATACGATAGGACAAAACAAATACAGAGCAGCACAAACTGTTTTTATACAGTCTATGAGCACGAAGCGCAAGTAACAAAACAACATTAAATTCCAGCAAGAAAAAAAAGTCATTTTTGCAAAATCATAGACATGTATTTACAAATCAAGTATAATGGGAACACAGAATGATCTTGGAGAGAGCTTTACCGAGCTGACTGCTGTAACTGAACGCGAGGGTTTAAAGGCTGAACGAATGACTGACAGCCACAGCGGAGAAAAGAGTTTGTGTGAACTTTAATGTAAGGACTTAAACATTCATATGTAGCTCACATTAACCCTTTCTCACGTGAGTTTAAAATATTCTAGCTGAGCCCCCAGCGTGAGGTTTTTTTAGGTGACCGTTATTTTAGAATGTATCGCCTTATTGCTTCCATGGCGATGCATCATGCTTGTCATGTGACACAACGTAGCTACAATAGGTTGTTTGCACATGACGTCACTGATGACGTGCGAAATGCAGCTGGAGGGCAGGAAGTGATTTTTCTCTCCATAGGAATCACTAGCAGAAACTCAAAATGCTTGTTTTGCGCGTTGTTTATGGTTGCTCAAATTGGCCAAACCGAGAAACCACAAGGAGCTTTTATCGTGTACGAAAATGTGTTGTTCATAAGTGGGGAAAAGTCAAGAAATTGGTTGAAAAACGCAGGAAAAAGTGGATTGTAAACCTGCGTCTGCAGTCGGGAGGAGCGGAGCCGGATAATGCTCGTGTGTGCAAATGATTAATATAAGATATAATAATATATTGAGATATTAATAAAGATATAAATAGATTGAGCTGCCACCTCTCATGCATTCAGAATTCACTCAGTGCTAAATACCACACGTAGACACGATGTAAATAAGATATTATTTGCAGTTCAGAAAGCTTCACTGATTATAAAGGAACATCGTGAGATTGCGATAAATTGAAGTGAGTGACAGCTTTTTAGTGATATTTGAAAGCGCTATTGATAAGCGCTATTTGCTCGCTTTCTAGACTATAATCAATCCAGAATTTGAATAAAAGTTTTGTTTTACGTGCTGCTGACAGGACCAACAGCCACATAACCTAACTCACATGCAGCAAAGTTTAAGGAGTGACAAAAAAAGCAGAATGGATGACATGGAGGAAAGTCCGGACTGTACTTTTTTTTTGGCATGAGGCATTTTTTTTTTATATAGCGCTTTCATTGTATTGCTGTACATCCAACGCGCTCTCTCTTCAACCACCACGCTATTACAAGAGAAAGGTATTTATAATCACAACGTATGTTGGACGTGATCCATATGTTATGAAGAGGAGCGTTTTTTAAACTAAATTGAAATACTTGCCTGCCATTGAGGCGGTGGATATAGGCTAAGCAACTATTTCGAAAGTGAATCCGGTATTTATATGAGGGATGCGGGATATGCCACTCCTGAAACTGTGCTGCGTGTACAGGGTATGTGGCTGTTGGTCCTGTTAGCAGCACGTAAAACAACTTTTATTGAAATTTTGAATCAATTATAGCCTGGAAAGCGAGCAAATAGCGCTTTCATATAACGCTAATCACTAAAAAGCTGTCACTCACTTCAATTTATCGCAATCTCATGATTCCGTGATATGAAGCGCTCAGAACTGCAAACAATATCTTATTTACATTGTGTCTATGTGTGGCGTTTAGCATTCAGTGAATTCTGACTGTGTCACCCTGTATCTATTTATATATTTCTTTATTAATATCTTAATATATTATTATATATTATATTAATCATTTGCACACACGAGCATTATCCGGCTCCGCTCCTCCCGACGCAGACGCAGGTTTACAAGCCACTTTTTCCTGTGTTTTTCAGTCAATTTCTTGACTTTTCCCCACTTATGAACAACACATTTTCGTACACGATAAAAGCTCCTTGTGGTTTCTCGGTTTGGTCGATTTGAGCATCCATAAACGATGCAAAACACAGGCATTTTGAGTTTTGTTAGTGATTTCTATGGAGAAAAATCACTTCCTGCCCTCCAGCTGCATTTCGCGCGTCATCAGAATCACGTGATTGCAACCCACCTATAGATCTGTATGAATATTCACAAACATGCTCACTATATTATGAAATATCTGATATTCCGATTCTGAAATATGTGCAAATAAATCTATTTGGTAGTTTAAACACTTTTATGTCGACTGTGTTAGTTGATCTATAGCGAGTGATGGGCGCTGCCATGTTAGTTCGCGCTGAATCCGAGCTGTGGGATTTACAACAAGCAAATTCATCCTCTCCTCCCGAAACACGTTAAAGTAGGTCTCCGGTAAACTGGGAGAAGAGCAGAGTAAACTTTATAGTTACCTACACAATCTGTATATGACATCAATAAAAACATGTCGTCAGATTATATTTGTAAGGTTTATTATTGCCGTTTCCATAGACATCAGCGTGTATTTTACAAACTGTGAATGTATGGTTTTGCTAGTACTTGTGTATTTAAATGTCTGAAACCTAAAATAAGCATTATATGGTTGCAAACACTGAATATTTGTGATAATATGACAAGCGCTCAGCACGTCCAATCTGGCTCAGCGCCAGCCAAAGCAAGAAAGCGGATTTAAATTCAGCGGTTGATGACATGAAGCACTGAAAGTTCTAATCACACCGTTGTGATCGTATGCTCCATGGACTAGCCAAGACTGATCACACTGGTGATTAAGCTATCATATGGCTTCAGAAGTAACACAGAATAATTCGCACAATCGAGAAAAAAAAAAAAAGTACAAATCTCGGATTTAGATCGGCCCTCTCTGACCGATATGAATATCGGATCGGAGCATCCCTAACTGAAACCATGCCTACTTTTTGCGTGCACATTTGGGCGGCATTAAACAAATATTTCCACATAGTGAGGTAGATATGTGGGGGCGTGTTAGAACGAGCCGTTTTAGGGGGGCGTGGCAGAGTCTTACCTTTGATAAAGAATATCTCTTTGGTTTTGAGACTTTAGTCTTTGCAACTTCAGGGATCTTATCTATGCACAATCAGCTTGTAACACTCCAAAGAGAAAGGAAAACTTGAAATCGCATCATATGACCCCTTTAAATTTTAGTACTTCAACAAACTTCTTTCAGTTAGTTGCCAAGGCAGCATTTCTAATTTTGGTTAGTTATTTAATTTTATGGTTCTCATTTAATATTTTATTTCATCTTTACTTCAATTAACAAAAAATATTTTTAATGGTTTTAGCCCTAGTTAACAATTTATTATAGTAAAATTTTAATAAAAATGAAAAAAAAAAAAAAACCTATATAGACATATACACAAAATAAAAACTACAACAAAATTACTGACTAACTAAAATCAAATTGAAAAAAAAATCTCAAAAATAAAAACTGATTTAAAATATTAATAACTATATTATCTCAAAGCTTTTTTTCATAGAATATTTATATTTAAGTTTATTTCAGCTTTAATTCAATTACAAAAGATGATGTTTAAATGTTTTAGCTTGTAATTTGTGTTGTTTCAGTATATTGAATTTCTCACTGTGTTTTCTTTCGTTTATTTTACTCCTGCATTGTTACCTAGCAACCCTGAGAAAACATTAGCTGCTAATATTGACATATGTTAACATACTGCTGTTTGGAGTCACGTAGCGTGTGCGCACACACACACACAGGTCACAGTAGCAGTGGGGTGAGACAGCTGGCTCTTTCAGTGCATTATACCTTCTTTAGCTGGAGTGTTTTGTGGAGACTGAGTTTGGGACACTGATTGAGAGAGTGTGGAAGCATCATCTGACGTTAGCTGCTCTTCATCTGCAGGAGTGAGTTGGTTAGTGACCAGATAGACAAGCAGGGAGACAGACAGTTAGAGAAGAAGACAGGTTAACATGCGAGGACATTGTCACAGCTGTAAGATGCTCTCAGCCTTGGCTGTAGGTATTCAAGTTAGTTCTGTGCAAGTCACACTGTGATTTTTAGCTATGAGGGGCCGAGTTATACCATTAGCATTGACCGGGTCAAATATACGTGGCTTTGGGAACAGGAAATTAGGTGTTCTTACAGGCAAGGAGGTATCATGCATCAGTGTTGTCTTTATTTATTAGTTTATACCCGTTTTAAAGGTAAAACACGGTTTAAAAGTTTGGGTTTAGTAAGATTTTTTTAAAATGTTTTTGAATGAAGTCTCTTGTGGTCACATGGGCTGTATTTATTTAATCAAAAACACAGTAAAACAGTAATATTGTGGAATATTATTACTATTTAAAATAAGTGTTTTCTATTTGAATATATTTTAAACAGTAATTTATTTCTGTGATAAAAAAACAGAATTTTCATTACTCCAGTCTTCATTGTCACAAGATCCTTCAGAAATCATTCTAATGTGCCGATTTGATGCTCAAGAAATATTTTTTAGTATTATCAATGCTGAAAACAGCTTAATATTTTTTGCTGAAACTTTTTTTTTTTTCAGGATTCTTCGATGACTATAAAGTTCAAAAGAACAACTTATTTGAAATATAAATATTTTGTAACATTATGAATGTCTTTACATTTGATCAATTTAATGCATCCTCGCTGAATAAAAAGATATGTTTTTTGTTAATCTTCCAGACGCTAAACCTTTGAACGTTAGTGTAAAGTGAAGGTGTGAGGGACTCGTGAGTGTGTTTTACCATCTAATCCGAGCTGCTGAAGTTCTACTCGTTTCTGGTAGCCCTCCAGCTCTTTCTCATTCAGCTCGCTGAAGGGGTTTGGAGGAAGCGGTCCCGTCTGTTCCTCGTCATCCCCCATGTACGGCTGCATGTGTGTGTGGGCAGAGCAGAGAACACAAAATAATACACTAGAAGTGCACCTCAGTTATGAAATGAGTCATAACGATGACAAAAACCGCACAAATACACAGACCATCAGGCATGTTAATCACTGTGCATTCAAAAGTGAAAAAAGTCGCAAATCCTCTAATATTAAAACACAAAAACAAAAAAATTAAGTGAGAACATCATTGTATCCAAAAGTACAATATTTAAGGAGTCACGCAGATATTTCAAAAATGAAAATTGTGACATAACGACAAACAAAACTCCCTGGGATTTTAACTGAATGGGCGACTGTCCCTTAAAGAGAAAAACAGAGCTTCATAAGACCCTGCTTTGAAACATGAGGCCTTTGCCTTACATACTGATGCTCAATTCACCAGCACAACTGTGATGCGTCAGTTCAACTGTCTCTGAGAGGATCTGGCGCCACCTAGTGACACGGACGTCCATGTGACACCAGTCTGACTGTTCAGGGTTCACACTGGGTGCATAGTAATGTCGCTCTGACACTCACCAGCGGTCTTTCCACCACAATCCCCGCCAGCCGCTGTGACTGTGGCCCTGCTGTCATCATGTCAAACCAGTTCTGCTCTCGAATCTGAAACAAGATCACAAAAAGCTGTTTAAGATGAAATGGTGAATAAGAGTCCTAATGGACCTTTTAACAGACTGCGATCACGTTTCCAGTTATTAACGTAAAGTTAAGTTGTAAAGTTTTCACATTTTAATTTTTTTTAATGAAATTAAGGGACATTAAAGGGACAGTTCACCCAAAAATTAAAATTCTGTCATAATTTTCTCACCCTCAAGTTGTTCCAAACCTGTATGAGTTTCTTTCTTTTGTTGAACATAACATATTTTGAAGAAAGCTGGTCACCAAACAGTTGTCAGTAGCCACTGACTTCCATTGTATGGAAAAAATACTATGAAAATCAATGGCTACCAGCCAGAGCATGTGAGCGAAGCGGAGTGGTGTGACGCTCCGCTACGTTTTCCGCTCTATGGACGTGCGCTCCGCTCAGTCGCTCTAACCGCACAAGCAAGCGCTCCGTTAATATTCCGCTCACGCTCACCGTGAACCAATTCCCGCTCAGATCCCGCTCCGACATAAAATTTCTCTAGTAGGCCTAATTGTTTACTGTTTGTAACGAAATTCTTGGATAATTGTCCAAAATTAAGCATGCTGATAAATAGCAATTATCATGTTTCAGAGCGAAATTCTTACATTCTTCTTAATTTTATTAATTGTAATGTATTAATTAAAATGTATTAAATATATGAATCTAACCTTAGCAAACCTACCTAAAATGCAAAAACTGAAAAAGTGTATTTGATTTTCGTTAACTTTATTTCCGTGAAAATAGCTGCCGTTGTTGTGCAATAGAACATTCAAAACAGGCTCATTAAAACACAAACGCATACACACACACGAGATGAAATGTGCGTAGAATAGATCTTTACTAAATACACCTGGATCATAAAGCCTGTGAAAAGAACACACAAGATAAAATGCACTTAAAGAACACTTGGTTTATTAACTGACGTCAATGAAAGAAACACACTTTCTAGT